TGGGTAGTTGAGGTTTATAAATGATTGGTAGAGATCCTGAAGTTTCTGGTCTCTGTCAGTGGGATTAGAGCAGATGCGGTTGTATCTAAGGGCTTGGCTATAGACGATGGATCGTATGGTGTGTCCTGAATGGGAGCTGGAAGCATGTAGGTAACTGTATGAGTCAGTGGGTTTTCTGTAGCGTGGTGTCTAATTTTCCATTCGTGATTTGTACTGTGGTGTCCAGGAAATGGATTTCTCGTGTAGAATGGTCCAGGCTGAGATTGATGGTGGGGTGTAGGTAATTAAAGTCTCTGTGGAATGCATCCAGTGTTTCTTGGCCATGGGTCCAGATCATAAAGATATCATCAATGTAGCATAAGTAGAGAAGGGGTAAAAGGGGACGGGATCTGAGGAAACATTGTTCTAAGTCAGCCATAAAGCTGTTAGCATACTGTGGGGCTATGTGGGTACCCATGGCTGTGCCACTGATCTGGACATATAAGTTGTCCCCAAACTGGTAATAACTGTGGGTGAGAACAAAGTTACATAGGTCTGCTATCAGATTGGCAATTTTCTTCCACAAATTGATCTGAGGAAGTGGGTCTGGCCCACGAAAGCTCATCGCCCAATAAACCATCTTGTTAGTCTTTAAAGTGCTGCATAGTCCTGTCTTTTGTTTCAGCTAGACCAGACTAACACAGCTGCATCTCTATCATTACAATCTTTGAGTGTGTGTTTGTGGGTGCTGATAAAAGCAGCACACTTGTTATCGCATCCAGTGTTTCTTGGCCATGGGTCCAGATCATAAAGATATCATCAATGTAGCATAAGTAGAGAAGGGGTAAAAGGGGACGGGATCTGAGGAAACATTGTTCTAAGTCAGCCATAAAGCTGTTAGCATACTGTGGGGCTATGTGGGTACCCATGGCTGTGCCACTGATCTGGACATATAAGTTGTCCCCAAACTGGTAATAACTGTGGGTGAGAACAAAGTTACATAGGTCTGCTATCAGATTGGCAATTTTCTTCCACAAATTGATCTGAGGAAGTGGGTCTGGCCCACGAAAGCTCATCGCCCAATAAACCATCTTGTTAGTCTTTAAAGTGCTGCATAGTCCTGTCTTTTGTTTCAGCTAGACCAGACTAACACAGCTGCATCTCTATCATTACAATCTTTGAGTGTGTGTTTGTGGGTGCTGATAAAAGCAGCACACTTGTTATCGTGTGGTGGCTTATTCAGTCCCTGGTGAGATCAGGGAGGACAAGGGAAGGTCCTTGGTGAGAGGAAGTTCCCCTTACCTGCCTACACTGAAGGTCAAGGAAGGATTGTGTTTATTGTTCTCCTTTTTCATTATGGCTACATCTACACTGCAGGCTTCTTGCACAAGAACTGTTTTACAGAAGAGTTCTTGTGTGAGAAATCTTCCACAAGAGCATGTCCACGGTGCCATGTGCTTTTGCGCAAGAGCATCCATGGCAGTGTGGACGCTCTCTTCTGCAAGAAAGCTCTGATGGCCATTTTAACCCTAGGGGCTTCTTGCAGAAGAAATTCACATTGCCTGTCTACACTGCCCTCTTGTGGAAGAGCTCTTGTGCAAGAGGGCTTATTCCTCATGGGGAGAGGAATAACTCTTCCAGAAGCCCTGTTTTCCTACACTATACTGTAAATTTACTTGCGCAAGAACACGCATGCAGTGTAGACAGCTGGCAAGTTTTTGCACAAGAACAGTAGTTCTTGCGCAAGATGCTTGCAATGTAGACACAGCCTAAGTGTTTTGGCACAAATGGAGTGGCTAAAGGGGAGGGTTCAGATAGCATTGTGGCACTTGTGACAGGTAGGGGAAGATATGGCAGTAAGATCCGGACTGGCCATCCAAGGGGAACGAATGAGGTTTAGACAGTTATGTGCTATTCTTTGTTCCAGTCCTTGAGCTGGCCGAGGTGGTCTCGGACATGGCATTGAGGACCCCAAGGCTTCTGGTCCTGAGGGACTTTAATATTCATGCCAAGGCCGTCCTGTCCGCTCCAGCATGAGATTTTATGGATACCATAACAACCCTAGGATTATCCCAAGAAATAACAGCCCCCATGCATGTTGCAAGTCATACACTTCATCTGGTCTTTTGGACTAAGGAAAAACATGGGGAAGGGGCTTGTGCTGAAGGGAGGGGAGGGGAGGAGGTCAGAAAAAGAAGAAGAAAGGGGAAGGCACCAAGGGACAGGGGTGATTGAGTTCTTGGGATAAGGGATGTGGTTACACTCCTTTTGTCATGGACTGTTCACTACCTGGTTAAATTAGACCTTCCCCTCCGCAGAGGCAGGGGACCAATTAAGATGGTCCGCCCTCGCAGGCTGATGGATCCGGATGGCTTCTTGAGGGATTGTTCAGCCATTATGGCAAATGGTCCTCTCAATGCTCCAATCGATACATAAAACATCAAGATAGCCCGGGTGGTTGACATGATTGCTTCTAAGCACCCTTTTCGGGCTAGTCTATCCAAGTTTGCTCCCTGGTTTTCTGGGGAGTTGATGGAGGCAAAACGGTCTGTGCAACGGCTAGAATGCCGCTGGAGAAGATCTAGAGCTGAGTCTGATCGATTGCGGGTTGGAGTTGAATGGCAAGCTTATTCTGTAGCCGTGCTCACAGCGAAGAAAAGGCTCAACCCATTTTCAAAGGCTCCATGGCTTTGAAAGGCACAAGAGCCCCCACTGGGGACTCTTGTGCATTTCAATGAAGGTACCTGTGTGCAGCCCAGAGTCAGCAGGACTTCCCGCTAGCCCTGGGCTATACGCAGAGTTCCACATTCCTCCTTTGAAATGTACAAGAGCTCCATCAGAAGAGGAATGTGGAAGTGCCTATAGACTAGTTAAAAATAGTTGACTAGTCTTTAACATCCTTAGTTGATTCTCTTGGACCTCTCAGTGGCTTTTGATACCATCGACCATAGTAACCTTCTGGAACACCTGGAAGAGTTGTGTATCGGAGGCACTCTTCTGCAGTGGTTCCGGTCTTACCAGTCAGGGCACTTTCAGAAGGTGGAGCCAGGGGGCTGCTATTTGACCTCGTGGCAATTGTACTATGGGGTCCAGCGAGGTTCAGGAGTGGCCAGGAGTGCTTCAGTAGCCAGGAGTGCTTTTGGGCAGCTTTGTCTGATCCACCAGCTGCAACCCTTCCTGAACAACATGAGTTGGCCATAGTGATCCATGCTCTTGTTAATTCCCGACTGGAATGCGCTTTATGTAGAGCTGCTGCTAATGAGCCTTCAGAAACTTCAACTGGTCCAGAATGTGGCTGCTTGAATTTTAACTAATACTCATTATACAGAGTACATTATGCCAGTGCTCCAACAACTGCACCAGCTTCCAGTATGTTTCCGGACACAATTTAAGGTCTTGGTTATGACCAGGGCTCGACAAATGCACTCACCAACTCACTCATGGCGAGTAGATTTTGTCAGCTGGTGAGTGCAGGGGTGGACTGGCCTAGTGGGCCGTTGTAACGGGCTGGCCAAAGCCCGCACTACAGGCGGCGTGGCCCCATCCAATCTGCCAGCCGGTGGAGGAGCAAAGCGCTGCCGGGGAGGGGGAACTGCGGCAATTCTCAGTGCCGGGCTGCCTGTGTGCAGGTCCAGTGCGAGGAGGCGAGGCCAGAGGGCAGGACGCCGGCAGACACCAGGATGCTGGCGTGAAATGGCCCCGCTGCTTTTAAAGGGCTGTGGCAGCTCGGCTCTGGCTGCATGTCCCCGGCAGCTGGCTGCGGCGCGCAGCACACCCCTGCCATGGCCTCAGTCCCTTGCCGGTGAGAGACCACTCCCGGCTGACCGCCCGGCTCGCTGCGCCCACCCCGCACCCCATCTGGCTCCCGTCACCCATTCCCCACTCCGCTCCTGCACCCCGGATCCCCTGCTCTCCCTCTGACTCTGCACCGCCCTTGCACCCTGCACCCTGCTCCCCTGATCCCTGCCCCCCCAGCTCTGTGCTGCCCGTTCTCTGCACTGCTCCTAGACCCCGATCCCTCTGCCCCTCCCGTTCCCCGCATCCCATTCCCCGTGCCTCCACCGCACCCCGCACATTGCTTCCCCCACTCCCTGCGTCCCTCTGCCCCTGTGCCTCCTGTTCCCCACGCCACCCGTCACCCCCCACCACTGTTCCCTGCACCCCCTGGCTCTGTGCTGTCCCTGCACCCTGTTTCCCCTGTGGGTTGGGAGTGAGGGGTGCTTGTCCATAGGGAGGGGCTGGACAGGGCAGGGAAAAAGCTGCTGTGACCCAGCAGCGAGTGAAAGAGGGAGTTTATTTGAAGCGCTTTTGCCTTTATGGAAAAAAATGAATGAAAATGCTATTTGCTATTTATAGGGCTAAAATGCTGGGACAAAAATGAAAACAAACAAACAAAAACCATTGCAAAATGCAAACATGTAAAAGACAACAAAAAAGGGGGGAGAATGTTTTGCTTGGCCCTGGGGGAGAGAAAGCAGCTGGGCTGGGCTGGGCTGTGGGGAGGGGAGGGGAAAAATATGGGGAAGGGGCTTGTGCTGAAGGGAGGGGAGGGGAGGAGGTCAGAAGAAGAAGAAGAAAGGGGAAGGCACCAAGGGACAGGGGTGCAGGAGAGACAAATGCCAGGGGGCCAAGTGCAGACAATGAGGGAAAGGGCAAGAGGGGAGGTGTCAGTGGGAGGGGGGAACAGGGTGATGCTGGGAGAGGAGAGGGTAAGGGCACTGGGAGCTAGAGAGAGGGGGGGTGCTGGGAGAAGGCTTGAAAGAAGGGGTGGGCATGAGGAAGCAAGGGTGAGGGCATAGGGGCATGAGGGGAATGGGGACAGAGGGTGCTGAGGGGGTGTGTATCAGGGAAAAAGAGGGCAAAGGGGGCAGGGGCAGTGAGGGAAGGGGGAGGAACCAGGAGGGTGCAGGTGCCATGAGATTCTGGGGGTGAAGCAGAAGGGCAGACACTTGCAGGGGAGGGACCAGCATCAGAGGAGAGAGGCAGGGCAGGTGTGTAGAGGGAGATGTTAGGAGAGGGGATGAGGAGGGGTAGCTCACGTGATCAGAGTGGGGCCACTGGAGGAGTGGGCACAGGGGGGAGAGAAGGGCTGGTGGAGGGGGGCAGGTCTCAGGAAGGCTGAGGGCAGCGAGAAGGGCAGGAGTCAGGACAGCAGAGGAGGGTGAAGGGTTGGGGGGCAGCAGGCACCAGGGGAGCTGATGGAACAAGGGGAGGAGACATGGCAGCAGAGGGAAAAGGTAGAAGTTTATAAGATATTTATTAAGAACTTGGGTGATATTTATTAAGAACGTATTAGTAATTACTGTCCTTATTCTTATTAGGAATTTATGCCATAAAAAAACCCTCTTTTTTGGGGGAGGGAGGGTGGCGAGTCCCTACCTTTTTTGTCTGGAGAGTAGGGTTTTCCATAATTTGTCGAGCCCTGGTTATGACCTATAAAGCCCTACACGGGTTGAGTCTGGGGTATCTGAAGGGCCTTCTCCCATATGAACCTTTCCGGGGATTGAGGTCAGCTAGAGAGGTTCTGCTCAGTGTTCCCCCACTTATGGAGCTAAGATTAACATCTACGTGGAACAGGGCCTTCTCAGCTTTTGCTCCCAAGCTGTGGAATTCTCTTCTCTGGGATATTCACATGTCTCCAATGTTAGCATTGTTTCAGCGTCAGGCTTTTTACTCATGCTTTTATTTGTGTTTGAGTCTGTGTGTGTGTGTGTGTGTCCCTCCTCTCAAGATGTCTTAGCAGGTTTTATGACCCACTGGGGTCTCATATTTTACTTTTTTATATATATTTAGATTGTGTTTTTAAAATGTTGTAAGCCTCCTTGAATATTTTAAATAGAGAGATGGGGTAAAAATATTTTAAATAAATAATAAATGAATAATGGGATTCTGAGGAGATGAGTAAAGAACATCTAAGTCCGTGGTCACCAACCAGTAGATCGTGATCTACCGGTAGATCTCAGGGACTGCAAGAGTAGCTCTTGAGCCCTCTCTGAACTGCGCACCTGCGCAGTGCATTTACATTAGATTTCCTCATGTAATGTAGGCGGGCCTTCAAGGAAGGGGCGGGGCAGTAGATCTTCGCCTGTTCTGAGACTTAAAAAGTGATCTTGGGTGTAAAAAGGTTGGAGACCACTGATCTAAGTGCATCAACAAAATTATAATGCATGAAACATGCTAATCACCAAGGAAAGTGCCAAAATTAAACCCAGAGCGATAATTTCTTTGTAAAATCATTACACAGGCTCCAAGCTGAGAGTCTCAACAATGTTCAACATCAAAATATGCTGATTGTGTCATATTTAAGACCTATTTCAAACCACTCAATGCCAAAGAAACATAGATGTCTTCATCTGTAGCTGTAATATTATTTCTGTCACCAAAATACAGTGCTAAAATGGAATGTAGAGATAATACTTTACATTTATCCAGATGCTTTCATCTTAAATATCCCAAACAAAAATAATTTAAATATGTATGAAACCACTGAAATGTAGCCACCACTAGGGTAAAAGATGTGCAGCACACCATAAAGAGGTCATCTGAAGAAGTGGGTTGTGCCCACAAAAGCTAATGATACTATGTTTTGTTAGTCTTTAAAGTGCTACTAGAATATTTGTTGTTTTTTAAGTTTTTCCTGTTATAGACTAACTCGTCTACTCCTCTGAAGCAGAAAGAGGTAGAAAGCCTTGCCTCTCAACAGAAGTGCTGTGAAAATTATAGTCTCAACAAAAAGTAGAGATTATATGGATTTTTTTGAAAATAAACCACCACTTCAATCTACCATAACAGTAAATCACACTGCACTCAATTTTGTAGTTGAAAAAAAATTAAGAGCTACACATGAGGAAAAAAAGAAAATACTGAAACTTGTAGCAGCCCATGAAGGGTAGCTAAAGAGAAAAAATAATTAGAAGGAAAAAGTGCACTCAAAGGTCAATACTGGTGACTCATTTACTTCCAGTCTGTGCATATGTTTCATCAATCAGTGAGCAAGCAAGTAGTGTAAATTTTTTTAATATCTCTCAAGTCCCCCCCCCACACACAATTTAATCCAAAAACTGAAGACGTATGCATCAGATTTCAGAATTAATTTGTTGTCTATTTCATATACTGATACAAAACTGGTAAGCAAGGGTTCGTCTAGATTACATGGCTCCGTCGACGGAGCCATGTAAAGTAGTTTACTCGACATAGTCAATGAAGCGGGGATTTAAATAATCCCCGCCTCATTAAAATAAAAATGGCCGCTGTGCTGTGCCGATAATCAGCTGATTCGGCACAGCATGGCAGTCTAGATGTGGCACGGTCAACAAGAGAAGCCTTTGTCGACCACTCAGGTATGCCTCGTTTCACTTATGTTTCACGATGGAGCCATGTAGTCTAGACGCACCCTAAGAATATTAATATTTTTACTGCATCTCTGGCATTTAAATCCTTGATTACCATCTAATGTCATGTCTCATCTATAGTTTATATAATGAAATGAATAAAAATAAGCAAAGATGATGAATAAGAAGTCTGAAGAATAAAAAGAGAACTTCTTCCCTTACATGTAAACTGTGCAACCTCACAGAACACAAGAGGTTAATCCAGCCTAGGATTTTAGTTCCTATAACCTCAGGATTTCTTTCTATTCTTTCAGAAGAAACAAATCTCAGTTTAAATTGTGCTATTATAAAAACTAGAAAAGCTACTTTTCAAACTTCAGTATTCACTGGCTACTGTTGTTTTATAAATAATCTAATTAATAGAAGTATAAGATTCCCTTTTTAATGAGCTGAACATAACTCCTATGTTTCAGAGTAACACTTCACATTCAAAAAGATTAAATACAAAAATAAAAAATATAACCACAAATTTAAATAAATGCTTTACAAATGCATTATGCATTAATTAAGAAAACCTTTTGAGAATCTTCGAGGGTTGTTTTAATTCCTCAGCTACAGCTTCTAATTTTCCACGGTCTATCATTTTCTTTGATTTCTTTGTTGTCTTTCTTTTGGGGAAAATAATGTACTTAGTCCCAGATTTTCGAGCTATCTCAGCAAGAGCAAGGTCATCATCAGTATCCACTTGCATGTCCAAAACAGGTGTTCTTTCCATTGGCGTGTCTACCAGTACTGATTGAGGAGCATTACAGCTTTCAATCAATAGTTGCTTAGTAGAGGAGCTTTTCTCAATCTCTGGTTCAACCTCTGAATCAGATATCTGTTTCTTCATAACCGTCAATTCTTTCATGCTGGTTTTGAAATCAGCAGAAATTGTAAAAGCTGTTTTGCTATTGAAAGCAGACATATCTGGTGCAGAGACTGATCTTTGAATAAAACTTATCTGCTAAAAAAAAGAGAGCTGAATTTAGTCAATATTCATTGGAAACAAGATTTATGTATTACATTTACACAAGTTAGTGGATTGGATTTCAGTACTTAATTTTAAAACAGTGAAAAAGATACATATTTTCATAGAGGCTATACTATTCAAAAACATCTTAAAAGAATATTTAACCTAAATAAACTACATTATATCTACATTTGTCAACATGTTTTTGAAAGTATGTACCCCTATTCGGTAACACATCATTCTTTGAAGCTGACAGAAGAGGTTAATCTTAAGAGCAAAGTATTACAAAGAACCAGAAATGAAGACAAAGTTTAATTTTATTCACACCCAAAGATTTATACCAGTGGAACTGCCATTCATAGAAAAGTGTATTGAGACAGGCATGGAATCAGGATGAGTAAAAGACTGTTCTAGACATATGGAAAAAGAGGCAAGATGAGAGAAACGTGGTTTAATTAGGCTAAACAATGTATTACTCATCTGGGAACTACCCGGTGGTAATTTGTATCATGTAGGTCATGATACATTCCTTAATTACTTCTACCTGGCAGAGTGCTGCCATCAGCCATCCTACCCCTTCACAGCAAGTCTCATCCCTTTGCTGTGACCCTTATCACTGTCCCTTGTATGAGGATTAATAGGTTAGGGAAAATGGATTGTCTCCTCACTGTACCAGACATTAGGATTTCTCCATACATTAGAAAGTGTGTTTGTAAAAGATAAGGCAGTTTCCTGAATTATCCTAGAAAAAAAATTACTGAATTGAGCATAGTATGTGTGGAGTACATTGTATTAATGCAAAGTTTATGTATTATTGTGGGTCTGGATAATCAAAGGATTATACTGAAAAATGTAGCAGACAGAAATAGACTATGGGGACATATGAAGTGGATTTTCTGCGAAGTATCTAGTGGGAGATGAATATAATTTCACAACCTTCAATTATGCAAATACCCAGATTTTTGAAGCTACTCCCTGAGGAGAGGGCCTTTGTCTGATAGTCACCTGTTACACGAGGCTAAGATTAAAGGCCCAAGTGGTATCAAGGAAAGATTGAACTATTTATGCTAGTTCTCCTTAGCCGAGGCTGGAATGAACTTGTAAGCACAGAAAAATCCCATTGAAGAACAAGCTACCATAGGTGCCAACTCTGTGGGTGCTCCACAGCTAGAAAATCTAGTGGGTACAGAGCACCCACTGACAGCCAAGCCTTCCCTTCTGCCCTCTTCCCCCCAGCACTTCCTGTCTGCTGGGGGTCCCACAGATCTATACCTCTCCCTCCCAGCATCTCCCACCTACTGTTCAGAGGCTCTGGGAAAGGAGTGGGGATGCGGTGCACTGAAGAGGGAATGGGAAGAGGCAGGTCGGGGATAAAACTTTAGGGAAAGGGGCAGAATGGGGTGAGGACTGAGGCACAGAGAGTCATTGAGCTAAAGCATAAGCCAGAATCTATGCAGTTCCTATCAGAGCCCTTACTGCAGATGAGAGTGATCTCTGGTAATTTTATTAGCAAGCACATAGATTTTCTGTTGTTTTAATATGCTTTCTCTGTCATTCTTTCACTTTAACATTAAATATGCTTACTTAGAAAGAGCTGTGTGATCATTTGTACCCGCTGGCTTTAATTCTAACTGGGACTCAGTTCCTGATGCTACAGTTAGAAGTCCTGAGAACCCCAATCTCTTGGTCAGGTCATGGGCCAGACCTAGCAGTCAGAAATATATTCTTCAGTCACAAGACAGAAGCGAAGGATCAACTGGGTCAGGTTACCAAGAAGTAAGAAGCAGGAGTCAAACTGGAGATCAGAACTATGAGTTGGGAACCAGAGTTAAACTGAGTCAGAATATCTGAATGGCAGAGGCAAAAACAAAATGGGAAGTTGAGAACCACAAACCATATGCCAGGAATCAAACCAAGTCAGAATGCCAGAAAAATCAAGCTGGAGGAGTGGGAATCACAAGGCGCACAGCCCAAAGCG